CTAGTAGCTTCTTGTTCCTAGTAGTAAGGCCAGGAGCCCCTAGTAGCGTCCTTGCTCCTAGTAGCCATGGTCTCCAACCTAATACCGATGGCCTCCAAAGACTGGGTTGCTCAATCTCGCAAAGACTGAGCGGATTGCGAAGTCGCATACGATCCCTCCGGAGGGGTTCGGCAATCGCTTAAAAGAAAGAATTCCTGGATGATCCCATAGAGTCAGACTATTGGCTCGTATGGACAGCTCGTACAGTCAGACCCTATGGACTCTATGGTCTATACAGCGTACTATACAATCTATAATCTATACATACTCTGCAATAGAGTCAGACCTGTCCCTTGAAACTCGTAGTTGGAAAAGATCGAAGATCGATTGCGTATCGCTCAGTGGTTTTAGATACGTGCCTCCAGCTGCTCGTCTTGATCTGAGTTGCAAACAAAGAGCCTCACAGTCATCAAAATCCGAGCCAAGGGAACAAACAGCCGATCAATTTGAGGTTTGATGGAGACGTTGGGGAGGTGTCAGAACCTTGTCAGAGAAACATCTTGAGCCGTGGTCTGGACCGCACAAATTGGCAACTTAAGGGAAAGAAACGCAAATCCGCTATTCACTTTTCGGGCCATCAACATCACCAGTTATAGGGTGGAAAAAGGCTGGAACTAAGGCCGCAAAAATTATGTGCCATCAGGTCTTTAACACACCGATGAAGCGACGGGTAATGCCTTCCGGTTCAACCAGGATCTCACTTGTCAGACTCCTGAGAACTCCTCTGATACACTGCCATGGGGCCGTGAGCCCATGAAACCCAACAACATTACTATACTACAAAAGAATGGACAACAAACTACTATATAAGTCGCTATTTACTAAATCAATTCAATCAATCACTTCACCATGAATGCTGAGGTTCAATGACAGCACTCATCTGCGGACATTACAATATCAAGTGATATCAGTCTTCTTTGCTTGACAGCAAGGAATGAATACATGTACTATGATGCAATAAACATATGTAATATCATACAACCAGTGTGTGCGATTCAATCTCACCAATGATTAAACAATAAAAAAAAAAACACTTGTGTACAATATATGCACTCTTGAATACTGTCATGCGATATGCCGCAACCTTGCCTTGACGCTCTAGAGCACTTACGTCTCAACGCAAGAACAAAGCAACCACATGAGGCCGAGAACAACAGGATCGTCCTTTGGTTTCTCTTCCAGGTATGGCTCCAAAGGTCTCAACACGGCTCAACCAATTAGAGAGGCTTCCAGCACTTCCCCCCTTGCTACTAGTAGCTTCTTAGTTACTAGTAGCCACGGCCTCCAACCTACTTGGCCTCCACCTAATAGCGTCCTTCCTACTGGCTCAATATTCCAACCCCCTTCAAGTGCTTTTCGTCTCACTCTGACGACGAAGCGGTTCCGCCCCCCCGTCGGGCACCTCCGTCCAAGTACTCGCAGCCCGAAGGGGCCCAGCCCTTTCACCTGGAGAAGGGGCCGACGTTTCGAAGCCAGACAGGGCTCTTCAAAGCCATGTTGCTACCACCAGGTGAAAGCAGGGACAGAGCTGAGCCAACATGGCTTTGACCTGGTGGTAGCAACATGGCTTTGAAAGGCCAACGGCTTTTTCTAGCAAGGGGGAACTCACTAGAGCTGCGAGCTCCAGCTTCCTGTTGAATGAGGGAAGATGGATACCAGTAGTGACGCTCGAGGAATGTGAGGAACTGTTCGGAGACTTGAACCTCAAATCATTTTCTTCCACCAAAAGTATCGTTTCATGTATCCCTTGGTTCTTGGTAATCATTTAGGAAGCTTCGAGATCCTGGCTATGCCCGGGACATGACTTCTGGGTGTGCCTTTGCTATTATATATAAACCTCTA